TTTTTTTTTTTTTTTTTTGGTCCCTCTAAATTTTTTGGTTTATTTTATGGTTGTCAATTCAACTTCTTGTTTACACTTGCACTATTTGTTATATTAATGTAGTAAACATATATACATTTATCAAATTTCTTAACAGTTACCATTTATTTTTATACATGATTATGTGTGGCGGTCTTATCATTAGTCGGGTCGACTTGTCATACTTTGATAACAAAAATCCATTTCGGATCTGTAATCTGTTGTGAGTTGTGTTTAATTCATTTCATTTTTTTGAAGCATCAAAGGATTTTGTTTGATTTCATTTCATTTTTTTGATGGATCAAAGGGATTTAGAGTTATAATATGTGATTCTGGGGCATAGGCTCTATTATATGTTCTCTGACTAACTTTATTCTTTGATTAACAACCCTGCAAACTATGAAGCTAAATGCCCTCTATATAGCACATGGATATGGTGTAGCAACGAAAGTAAGTCACCTTATAATATTACTTTAAGCACTTCTATTTGTTAAATTGGTAGAATCTCGAGTGGTTAGCTCAAGGGCAAAGTATTTGTTAGAAGGGCAGAACTTCGAGCAAATAGCTCGAGGGCCATAAGCCGATGAAGTATTTGAACCCCATTTATTTCTCAAGTGGCATGGAGGTTAAGCTTTTATTTATAGACATGAACCCCAAGCAGGTAGCTCGGGTGCCTTAGTAGTGAAAGTTGTTAAAGAGGAATAAGCTTGGAGAGTGTAGCTCAAATTTCAAAGCAAAATAATTTCTTTATAAATGTGTTAAATTGATGACTCATGTTAAACACGTACTCATTTAATAAATGAGTTGGTGTAACTCAACTCGTTTAATAAAAAAACAAAAATGTGGGCTCAAGTTTGAATCATTTAATAAACCTTAGAACTTAGAAGAAAACTTGAAACTAACTTAGTTGATCGCTTGTTTGATAGAAACACTCTATTAGTTGTTTTAGTTTGACTCGTTTAAATATACAATTGAGTCGAGCTTAAACTTTCGCTAGCCAAACTCAACTGCGTTAGCGGACAACTCTGTTCGAATAACATATGCACGTTTTGCAGCCCACTGAAAAAAATTATGGCTATATCCCTCCTAAAGAATGATTGTTTTTCTTCATATGAATGCTGTCACAGCATATGACCAATATCATACACATTCAAACGAGTGCACCTTATCAAATTTTCTTAGTGTAATTTGATTAAAATTAAGTACAAAATCATACCCTTTAAAACATTTAGCAATAAGATGCTACCAAAAAGAACATGATGCCAAAAAAGTTTTCAGCACTTCCTTTAAAAGTTGCTCAAAAGCACCTTCTTTATTCTTCTTATTCTTCGAATCTATTGCCAAAGATTGCAGCTTTGTTTCAAGATTTTTCCATGTTATTGTTTTTTCAGGAGTTTTCATCAGGGCACATACTAAACTTGGATTATCCTGTCCAAGAATGCAGCTCATACGTCTCGATTGATTTCTAGAGATAGTTCTTATCTCGTTCTATTCATACTAAACTGTACGGTTTGTACAACATTTAAGAGGTTGTATATAAATCGGTTTTCTATTGCTGCCTCGACCGATTTATTAAGTAAATACAACTCGTTTTCGGGTATTACACGATTGAAATGAAACACTAGCGATATCACAATCTACTTTGTTCTCAATATTCTTTGATTCTTTTGTGGCTTCAAGCTTACATTCTTAGTTTGGTTTCATAATTCTAACACTAAGGATACAACAACAAGAAGCTTCTTCCTAATTGATTGTGATTTCTTTCAACTTCTTTTCACACCTTTTGTGTAATGGTGGACTTGTTTTTTGTTCTGGAATCGTATTCTTGCAAGATAAAAAATCCTTTGTAATGACTAATGATGCTTTTTTATTTTTTTGGAAAATTCTCTTTACTGTTTTAACGTATGAATTTATTTTACTTCTTCTTTTTTTTTCTCTTATTATTTGCTAACATTTTTTTTTTATTTTATTTTATGTTTGAATACTTCATAAATTTTTTTCACCTTTTAGTTGGTATAATTTCAATGCTAACTGCTACCTGCAGAAAGTGCACGGCTAACTAGCTTTACTTGTGAGATTATAATTTTGTTCCCAACTTTCTCTTTACAAGTTTTTGCTAAGAAAAAGCACAAATTAACATAAAATACAATCTATGCTCACTAGAGTCCAATGAGGGTACAGTTTTGAGGTGTTCTTTAATAAATAATTAAAGGAAAAAAAAAAGAACAAAAAAGTTGGGCAGCAAATAATTTCGCTCACCCATTGCCACTCAAACCTGCAGTTATATCTCCGCATTTGCTATAACAAATCACAACATGGAGCTGCTATTTACAACAACACGGCAAAATTGCCCAAAAAAAAAATAAAATAAAATGAATAAGGCCCGGAACACAACTCTCATTGGTATTCCATGTGGAGCCCACTTATTCGCTGTCTCCTTTTATCAAAAACGGCCCTGAACGACTCGCTCTCAGCACGTAATCGTTCTTGGAATACG